GGGCTTTTGCCGAGGTCTAAAATACAACTTGAGACGTGGGGTAAAGAGATTCATCTCTTATTGCATAATTTATCATTAAATTTACCAAAATAAGCACTCAAGGATTCGTCAAACCGTTACTAAAACTCAGTCTTCACCAAATCCATCCATCATGCCAAGAAGATATAGTAATAAGAAATCTCAGAAACAGAATAATAAATTACAAGGTATCTTGACATTAGTAATTAAGGATACATTTATGTTAAACATTCTGAACTGCAGTTAATTAGGGAGAAATATCTATCAAACTTCATATGCTTTTTATATAGGACATGTCTAAATAGCAGACTAAGCAAATTTGTATCTATATTCTGTCTTCCTCCTCCTTTCATTTTGTTCCCCCAATTTCCACATTCTGACTCATCTTCAGCCTCTCTTTGTACTCTTTCAATTCCCTCCTGTACCTTTCCTTATCTTTCAACCCAATATTTTGGTAAACCTACAAAAACAACAATGTCAAAGATAAATAACACTAGTTTATGTGAAATAAACTCAAGTCTTTTCAATGCAAGCTATACCATCCTTTCTTCTGGACTGAGCTGGTTCCAAGACTCTCCAATCATTTTTGTGAACTCACGCTCTCTATTTGGGTAGAGAGACTTGAGTTTGTAATGCTTTTCGGCAAAGAAGAAGTTGTAGCCACTCCTGTTAGGCTTCGGATGGCTGGGGTCACCAGATCTTCTACTTCTCCTCCTCTTCCGAGTATGGTGGTCCTTGTGGCTGTGTTTGTAGGGGACAATGGCACTGCTGTATTGGGGAGCTGAAGTAGAAGGACCAGTCTGATCCGGGTGGTAGAGTACTCCATTCAGAACCTCTGAACCCAACTTTACAGACACCAAGTAGCCACAGTCGAATTTCCCTTCAATTGTCCCCACAGCTGAAAAACATGAAGGGCCTACAAAGAAAATGCCGTCAAGAAATTTCAAATTCCACAATCAATTTAACCCAATATAACTCCATACATTCAAGCAATTTTACACAATTTTATGATATGAATCTTTGAATTTTGCATTTACACACCCTTTATTAGTAACAACTCTTTTAAGTTTTTCCCATTTAAAGAATTAGATATCACGTTCTATTCAATTATAAATTTATAAACACCAAGCGAAGCACACTGGAACCAAGTGTTCTTTTTATAGCCAAAGAAATTTAGTACTTAGCATTCCAAGGATTTGAATCTGAACTCGACCCCATAATCGAAGTTTTGAAGTAATTGGGTATTAACTCGGCTAACAAAAGTTGATTTTTCAATATTAAGCAATTGAAAACACTCAAGTAAATTATAGACAGGGACAACAAAGAAATTAGATATATGCTATGCAAGATATATCACACAAATTATATGGTCCACAGCTGCAGATATCAAATGAATAGATCAAGTTAAATGGAGTGGGACCCCAATGAAAAGATATGGAGAAATCACTATAGCGTTTACAAACACATCAAAACAGCCCGTCATATTACCTGTTATTCCAATATCACCACCACAATAGACTCACTGACAAACTCATAAATAGAAAAGAAAATGTTAGGGGATCAGACATTAAATCAAACATTTGTGGGGTGTGGATGAAACTTTACTTTATCTTCTTAAATTAGAAAAATATAGTGAGGAAAATGAAAAATCCTACCTTCAATAAGTGGATCCGGGCTTTCTCTTATCGTCTTTGGAGAATATTCCACCAGGGCCAAAGTCAATTCACTTCCGGGTGAAGGGTCATTAACAGGAAATGTAGCTACAGAAGAAGCGAAATTAGATCAAACCATACACAAATTAAAAATAAAATAAAATAATTAAGGAGTAAAGTGTACCTGCTGGGGTTTGTGGGGTACCCTGTTTGTTAAAGAAATGAACTTGTTCATAGTGGTAAAGGAGACTAAAATAGTGTTTCCTGAGAACAAAAGAAGCACTTGTCGTTGTGGGAGAGAAGTTGAAAATACTGCCCACTTCCCTCCATTTCTTCTCCGCAACAACCTTTTCATACCCACCCCTTTTAGTAGCCTCCACATAAAGAACATGCAAATCTAACTCCTTCCCTCCAATCACAGGAATCCTTAGGAAAAAAAAAAAACCCACCCACATTTTATCAGCATCAAAAAATGAAGATTAAGAAGGAAGGAACGACAGAAGGCATACATACATAAACTTAGTGCCCATTATAAAATGGAAGCGGCGCAGCGTGTCCCAGAAAGCAACAGGGTCCATAACAAGGTCTTGATGAGAGGCAAGTGGCTCCGGGTATTCCTTCTTCCCCCCCGCCCCATTACGGGCTTTCACTTTCCCAACCGGCGTCGACGACATACGTTCGCCGGCTAGATTGACAGACGTTGGCCGGGAAACCCAGATGGAGTTAGATATATAATAGAAGACAACCGGATTAAAAGAGCATTTAGGGGGTAAAAAGATATGATGAAGAAGAAAAGAAGAGGTGATTTCCCAAGATAAGATGGCAATTAAGATACAGAAAAGGTAACGGTTACACAAAATTGGCTTTTTCTGGCATTTTGAAAGACCAATCACTGAACAAAAGTCCTAATGACCTTTATTTATTTATTTTTTGCATACATACACAGGCTGAATGAGCCTATGTTCATTATGACACTGTGGCAAAGTCGTGCAAGAAGTACTACCTTGCTTCCCCCTATCTCTCTCTCGGGTCATTACAAAGACTGACATTTCTGGAACAGAGTGAGGCTGTTGATTAGATTAGCTTTCTTTCTTTTACGTCTCTTCCCAAAACGTTGACATGCACTTGGGGTTGTTCTTCTGGTGGCATATCTGAACGTACATCTGCGGGGGAGATTTATATCTGCGCAAAGGCATTTGGGATTTTGTTTTCTAGTGCATTTGTTTTTCTTGGTTAGTTTTTCTATGGTGCATTTAAGAGTAGGGTCCAAGAAGCATCTGAAGCGTAGATTTTGGTGGAAAGGCCCCCTGCCTTTTGGGTCTTAAGATTTTTTCTTCGGCAGAAAGTGCAATTCAGCCCCTGTACTTGTAATGTTGTGGCAAGTCATCCCTTATACTTTAAAACGTAGCAAATCAGCCCCTCTACTTCACAACATCCGCATAACAACCCTTTTAGTTAAACTGACGTCATCCAAACATTAAACCCTTCAATTACCCGTTAAAGCCTGAGGTAGCTCTGATTGAGCGCTGACTGCATTATACAAAGGAAGGTCTCTTTTGGTCTGGGATACTTAATATATTATTTTTTTAAAATATTAGAAATTCATAAAATATTAAAATTTTGTTTAATTTGTATTTTTAGAATATGAATATAATTAATGTATTTTTTATTAATTAATATAAAAAATAAAAATTAA